CTGGCGACGGCCCCCGGGGAGAAGCCCCCGGGAGCCGGCTGGCGGATTGCAATGTCACCTCGCGCGGGGATGAATCCTCTGCAGACGACTGAAGTGACCAAGCGGGTCGTGTACGCGGTCAAGTAGCCTTGTTGCTACGAGTCGCTGAGCGTCAGCCCGATCCTTGGCTAGATTTGTTGGCATACCACCCCCATCAACGGGCTCGGCAGCGCCGGGCGCTTGGAGGGGGCGCGGGAGGGAACCCCTCGTGGGTGCGGCCCTCGCCCGGGGATGACGCCAGTTGGCGGACGCGCGGACTTGGGCACGCGAATGGCGCGCCGGGGGCAACCCGCGATCGTTCCGGGGGGCTTAGGGGCGGGCGACGCGGGAGGGGGGCGCCCCGGGGGCAGTCCCGTGACCGTTCCGGGGGGGCCGACCGCGGGGGGGCCCTGGAGGGGATAGGGGCGGGCGGCCGACGCGCTGCCCCAAGGCCCCGAACCAGTTGGTGGCCCAAGTCGGGCACGGAGAGGGCGCGGGGAGGACGCGGGAACTCGGGCGCTTTTTTGGAGTCACGTGATCGTCCCGCGGGGGGGGGCCGCCGGGGGCGCGGGGGGCTTAGGGAGGGCGACGCGGGAGGGGGGCGCCCGGTGGCAGTCACGTGATCGTCCCGGGGGCTCAGGGGAGGGCGCCGGGCAGCGAGGAGATCGGGGGGGCAGCCCCAGGGGCCGATGGGGATAGGGATGGGGGGGGAGGACGGGGGGGAAGGGGTGGTGGACCTGTTGGGGGAGGTGCATGGAAATATATATTTCGAGGGAGAGGGTGGGTGAGGACGGGGTGGACATGTTGGGGGAGGTGCATGGAAATATATATTTTGAGGGGGAAGGGCCGATGGGGGTGGGGGACGCGGGAGCGGCGGGCGCCGGGGGATAGTCACGTGACCGTCCCGGGGGGCCGACCGCGGGGGGGCCGGCGCCCGGGGGTGATCACGTGATCGTCCGGGGGGGGGGCGGCGACGGCGAGGTCGGGGGCCCCCGCGCGCCAGCGAGGTCCCGGGGGCTCCCGCAGCGAGCGGCGGCGGCGGGTCGGCCGCGCCAGCCTTATGCGGCCGAACGGGCCAGTCCGGCGGCCCAGTTTGTATGGAGCGCACGGACCACCACATACAAAACCGCTCCCCCCCCAGCAACTTTTGCACGACTTCACGTTTGCGCGCCAAATCGCCCCCCACCAGGGGTCGGTGGGTATGTGTAGGAAGGCTAGTACTTGGTGAGGAGCCAAGGAAGACCCCCTGCGCTTTCTTCCATACTTGACAGGCCGCTTTGTCCGC